TTACATTATAACGCCCCCATGGCTGAAAGGGCGAGCATGTTTGGTGTGATGGGAATTCGAACCCGCGACCCTCAGATTGCGAGTTGAGTGCTCTAACCACCTGGCCATACCAGGCCAGAATGGACAGGAAAAGAAAGTATCCTGCACTATCACGAAAGGTGGATAGTGGTAGATAATGCTGCCCAATAACCTGTGATGGTAGAGACAGACAAGCAATGGTCAAACACCACACGAAGAAGGAGATAATATAATGCAAAGTGAATTGGTCAGGGAGAAAAACTGACAGATAGACCAACAGTGATAAGCATGCCATTTATGTTGGTACACCGATGATGTGTAAGGGTAACAAGAATGTGACAATAGGAAAGCTACATGATTGGAAAGTCCAACCAGATGAGCAATGGATCAGACAAATCCCACACACGAAGGTGAAGGGATGTCACTCCTTGACGAAAGAGTTGATACATGACATTGGATTAGAAGGGATGGTATGTTGAGAAGGGGGTCTTGGACAAGAAAGTGTGAAACAATGGAAACAAAGGTTGGGCTGGCCAGTAAGAACATGCAGGAGGTTTCCCAATTCAGAGCAAGGATCCAAGGGAGGAGGCAGAGGGGAATACAGGAAATGATGGGATCAGTCCTGAATGAGAGCATTGGTGGTTGTTATGTGATACAACCATGTAGTTGTCCAAATGGATCATGACTAAGTGATCCATAAGGAAATGTGAGCATGCTCAGCAGACAGCTAGCAGTTCGAGGGCATTGATATGCAGAGTATACTCCTCTAGGAAGCAGGAGTCTAAAATCAGACTATTGTGCAGGGATATTCTCCACCTGGAGAGAGAAGCATCTGTAAATAGGAGGTGTTGGAGTGGTCTAGCCAATAAGCAAGCTTCTCCTGAAGAGGAGAGAAGTTGATTGGTGAGGATAATGGATCCCTGGAAATGTTTCATTGTTTGTGCAATGTCCACCACAGAGAATGTATATGAGCATGGCCAAGTAGAATGAGAGTTTCCAGAAAAGTTATTGTCCCCAAAATAAAGAGAACCTCTCCCATAGATTGTGAATGCAAGGTACAAATCTTGGTGACTAAACATCTGAGGTTTCATAGACAAATGAGCAAAAGTTAGGCATGGCTGAAAAGAGAATAGAAAACAACTCTCAGGTAAAAGAGGTATTGGGTCAAAATGAGGATGGATTTTGAAATCTTGATAAGCCAACCTAAATGAGTGGTCTCATAAAGAAAGGAAGTGTGTCTGTAGGATTCTCCCTAGGAATGGGCAAGGAAAAACCAGTCATCCATACAGACATGGAATTGCATGTATTATGCAATAGAAAAGATAGAAGCCAATGTAAGCCAAACAGAAAAGCAGAGAACTGGAATATGTGATCCCAGTGGGTGAATTGGAAAATACGTCATGAGGATAGAGCAACTGGGATACAGAGAAAAGCATCCAAAACACTGACTTTAGATATCTATAAGCTGGGTTGAAATGACCAAGGGAGAAAAAAACTCCTCCATCCCAAAATGTGGGATGACCATGAAATGATTGTAAGAAAAGAAACTGATAATTGGACACCAGTCTCTGATCTTTTTGGAGACTACAAACAGGTGGGAGTAAAAACCCAGAGATAGCTTGTAAAAAAAATCAGACTACCCCCTCAAGATAGTGAAGATAGGAAGGATTGGAAAGGAGGGGAAGTGAGACAGGTTGGAACTGAAGAGGGGCAAAAGAAAAGTGTAGAAAAAATCCATGAGAAAGATTTTTGAATAAACCATCTGTCTGCTGAAAAATGTGCCTATAGTTCTGCAAAATATGACAGATATGCTTTAAGTGGTCCAAAGCCAACCGGATAGTCACTGGCAATTAGGATGGCAAATGAGGTGTTGGATGGGAATGAGCTGTGAAGAGATGGATGACCTGGACACAAGAACAGAATGGAATCTGGAAGAAAAGCCAGGGTGAGGTATTGAGGTGTAAGGGTAATGTTCGGTTGTGATTCCAGGGAATTAAGGACAACATCAAAAACCTCCAGAAGAAGAAAGGGAGCAAAAAAATAGGTTGAAGAGGACAGTCTTGAGATAAGAGTATCTCTCCCCAAAAGGTCCAAACAACAGAGGAACCAGGTGAGAAGAGAATGAGCAGAGAGGGTGGAAAAAGCTATTGTAGAAAAAAGGAGTGAAGGACATCCCCAGAAAAATCATTAGGGGAACAGCGAAGGGCTTCAGTCATAAATGAATAGAGAAGAGGTACCAGAGGAGGACAGAAAGAAATGTTCAAAGACAGGTAAATTGATCACAGAAAGGGAAACAGCATATAATAAATATTCCCCAAAACTGGTAAAAGTGACTTCAAAGACTGGGAGTCAAGGAATGGGAAACTGGATTGATTATAGGATAGAATGAAGGAGTCAGATAGGCAAGGAGATTAAGGCACAAGACTGCAGGAGTAAAACAGATACAGAAAGGAATTGCCATGTACAGTTATAGTTGGGGAGGGAGAAAAAAAAATCATGGTAAGAAAAGTTATGTAAAAGTGAACAGGAAGAGTCAAAAGATAATGAAGTAAGAGAAAGAATTGTACATACCTGAGAAATAAGGTTTTGAAAGTCAGAAGTCTGGGTACATTCTTCATTAGGTAGAGCCATACTTAATGCGAAACCTGAAGGTTGAAAAAGGTGCTCAAATTCATCCTGTTCTGTTTTAGGCTCAAAAGAAGGGGGGAAGGAAAATGGGTGGAAAGTATGAGATCAGAGGGTCCTGACTGCACAATGGACCCCACCACACAATGGAAAATGACTTCCCCAGATAAAAAACTTCACATCAAAAAAACTTCTTTACTCACATCAGCATTAGTTGTATTCACATTAAATTCATGTGGAGTATAGTTAAATTCAATCCAACTAGAATATGTAAAGTCACAAATCTTGGCAAAATTGGATCATGTCAGTGCACAAGAATGTTGAGAAAAAATTAAGATTCACAAGCACAAATTGTATGAGGAGTAATTTCATATTGAGGTGTGTTACACTCCTCTAGGTGGAGGGTTCAACTGCATGGTGACACGTTTTCATATGAAACTAGTACAAAGCTGGGATGGACATTACAATGTAAGTATCCTAAATCTACAGATCATACCTCCCACAGTATGGATCTTACAAAATCAATTATTCAAGAAACTAAGAATCACAAAATACATTCCAAGTTCATGTAACATTGAAGGATGAAGTAGTAGCAATTGGTAGAAATCAAAGCCAATGTCTCAAGGTTTTAAGTAACAAGACTTGCTTGTCAACAAACTCATATTCGTATAGGGTGATACCAGTTTTGACCTTTGATTATCCACTGTGCTTCCAGAATAAGTTTTGTTGCAGTCCTGTCCTGAACATTTTAAACCTGTGTATTACATGATATACATGTTGATGACACTTTTATGGTATCTAATAATGTTAATGAATTTCTCCAGTTTTTAAATGGTAAACATCACAATATAAAGTCTAATGTTGAAAATCAACTGAGTAACAAACTATCATTCTTAAATGCTCATGTCTTAAATAACCAGGGTATACTTACCTTTAAAATGTATCATAAACCCATTTTCACTGATGCATTTTGCCAGTTTCACCTCTTCAACCTTCAAAGAAAATCTGGTTTAAACCTTGCTATACAGTGTTTAAAATATCAAGAAATCAAAACCTTTTTAAAAAATATGTTGAGAATGTTAAAGAAACATGTAGAAGAAATTGTTTTATGTTGTCATCCCTAAACATAATAATCCACACACAAATTAGAAAACTAAACACCCCATCTATTGTTATGTTAGGTGTTCCAAAGAAAACTGTTACTCTTATCATATCCAACTTAGGCACTATATCATACATGATTAAGAAGAAAATTATAAAACATTTATAACCATCAGTTTAGTTAAAAATGTATTTTCAAAACAGACTCTATGGTAAAAGAGCTCTTCAACTTTTAAAAGACAGACAACATCAACAGAATACATTGCTAGTAGTGTACAAGTGAAATCAAGAATATATTGGATCAACTGCTAGAAGGCTCCGAAGTTGAATAAAAGAATACTAAAACCTACAACCTACAACACCTGTTGTATTACCAACCACTATCTAAACAAATGTGATGTTGTGCCTACTTCCAGCTTCTTCCACATCAGTCTCCATTCATAAAACATTCCACCTAGAATGCTAGAATCTCTTGCTATTAAGCTAAGAAAACCAACTTTTAACCAGAAAATGAGCACACTGTCACTATGTTTTCAATCACAAAACTGTAAAGAAAGAACATGAACTTTTATGATAGAAATAAAACTATGAACAATTGTCAGTTAATCTGCTGAAATATAAAATCCTACACCACACCTTAATGTAAAATATTCTTAATCACACCATATTTTCACAGCATTCTGCTATCCAAAATCAACTAAGGAAACTTTCTTGTCAATGCTAAGATTATACATAAAATTGTATATACTACACATGAGAACTTTTTCTTTTTAAAACAAAGACCAGATTTAGACATTTGCAAAGCACAAAAATGCATGTGTACTTATGAGACTGTAAGGCATCCTATATTAATAAACAAGAATCACTTATAAGTATAAGATTTAAAACACACTAGACTATAAGAAAGTGTAACTGAATACTCAGCAATCCTTCCCCTACCTCTACAGTAACACAATGAAAACATATGCACTTTGTTCACTTTTGAAAGTTTTATTACGTTAACTTCAGGCTACTCATATACTGTCTTAGTTAAAATGTACAAACACACTTAACTGTATACAGTCTTCTTTTCAAGTAAATGTATTTTAAGTTTGTATAATGATGCTTTTTTTTCCTTGTATAGTTGCAGAAGTTTGTACATTATTATATTTTTGTTGGAATCTGTGTAATTTTGAAACTTTTAATAAATATGCTTTGATCTGTCTCCATCATAATCTTATTTTTGACTAATCAGCTAATTATCATTAACTTTTGATCAAAGAAAACTATCTACAGAGATTAAAACTAAAAATTAAACAAGTTGAATATAGCTAATTGAATATACCATTCTAATACCTTTCAAGTAGTACAGGTTGGCCATCATGGCTATGTTTCTTATTAGTTTAGAAAGCATATAGCTGCATTACTATTTACTATGGAATCAATGTCATGCTTGAGTTATTGATTTGTGTGAAATAAAGTATCATATCATAATTTTTGGTCATTTTCAGCCATTCCAGTGATATATTACTGTATTACTGAGAAAGAGTGATTGTATTAATGCCATATCAAAAGTCCTGAAAAAGTATAAAAGCTTGTGGAAAATTGAGTTTCATGGGGTGATTGCCAAGTCCAGTCTGGGAGACATTTATGCAAGATGCACAGTATGCAATTGTGACAACTTTATATATTAGCAATTATACAAAACACGAGTTGGCACAAAATTCTATAGGCATATTAATGAAAGTTACGAGCTTTCATAGCAATAATTACAGGTAGACATCAAAATGGGTTTACAGTTATGCATTATTAATTGTAATGAATAGAATTCATTGACTCACTAGTTGGGTATCCACACTGTTCACAATATGTTCGGAAATAATTTAAAAATTACAAAAATACAAAGCAAGAAAACTTAAAAGACAAAAGTAACAAGGTCCAGAGTAAGGAAACAATTCTGGAAAAAAAATTACAAGGAAAGAGGAAACATTCCTTATGCCAAGAAAAAAGGCCTGATGTTACACAAAACACCTAACTTAGTTTATCAAATGGCAAAAATAGAAGTCTCTCAAGCAGTATAAGAGCAAATAATAATAATAATGTACATTTAGTTACCATAATTCACAGATATAATAACAACCTGAAAAAATATCTAACCAAATAATTGTACAAAAACAAGTCCTGAGTGAACACATAAACACTTCAGTCATATAATTGGTTGGTCTAACATATTAAATACAGGGTAAAAGTTGTGTTGATAGTTTAATTAAACCTAGTGGAAGACTGTACTAAAAGAGCTTCTTGATTTGGACTACATCAACCATACTATAAACTTGAGCAACCTTAATACATTACTTCTTGAACCAGGTATTTTTCATACTAAATATCTCCTGAAAAGTTCATATTAATGACTTGTTCTTTCAAAACTATTAAATTTTTTAATTAATTTATGAATTACCTTTTATAAAAAAACAGTTAAATGCTTAAAACATGGCTTAAGATCATCCTATAAATTCTAAGTAGCCTTAACTAAAAACCTGCTATACTCATATAATTAGTGCATTTCCAAGTCACAGTAAATATACAAGATAGTTCTTTCCTATAAGAAAACTTCCTTTAAACACACATTAATGCGTAATGTACATAAAAGTATTTAAGGGACACCAGAACATTACAACAGGGTTCAAGTTAATGAGGACTTCCAGAAAAAAATGAAGCTTTAGCTTCAGCTAATTTTAATTTTACAGGCAAAGACATGTGAGTAGATTCACTCATAGTTCTGTTCAAACTTTCTGTTATTCTAGAATCTTTTTTCTGACACCTTGATGACATTGATAAAGCACCTGGTTTCATCAAGTTCTCAAGGGCATCACTAGACAAACTGGTGGAAATGTTAGTAGTTGTCTTAATAAAAGATGATTTTTGTGTATTCAAGTTGTCACTACATTCTGTATTTAATGGTATTCTGTGGTTCCAAGATGTGCACACATTTGTTTTGATAAGTTCATTTGGAGATGTTTCTTCGGTCCATATCTTTTTGTCATTAACATGTTTTTTATTTGTATTAAAACTTATTTCTAACTCCACTGCAGTTTTTTGTTGAGAACTACATCTACTCAATTCAGTTTCAACATCCACATCACCTTTCTTATTGATGGATGAAAAAGGTACAGACTTACTGGCTGGTATTTCTGAAGACAATTGATTTTCAGTGCATGCAACATCATTTTGGTTTGCTTTCTTAGTTGTTTGAGGAATTGTGAACCTGGTAAGCATGTCAGGTCTCTTAGGTCCTGATGAACTATACAGATCACTTGCTTTTTCACTTGACTTATTGAAGGAAGTGTTTTGTTGAAGATTATTTGCTCCAGTAATTGGGTATTTAGACTTTTCTTTTCTTAGAAAGTCAGAGTCATTAAACTTGGAATTTGTATGTGTATCCAAACCAATTACTGAAACTGAATCACCAGGTGTGTTTGGTACACCAAAAGAAGACTCCAAATATGGACTGTTGTGGTGAAGATTTCTCTTCTGTGTAGCTTTATTATTTGAATATGGTACATACTTAGTTTCACAAATCTTATTCATCAAGTGATAACTTTTTCGAGGAAGACTAGCTGACTTAGAAATCAAGTAATGATGATCTGTTTGACTTCGCTGTTCTCTTGGAGGTGACACTCCTGTTGTAGATTGTAGTAGTAATGAATGTCTTCCATAGTGAGAACTACGGCTTAAACTACTTGTCCTGTTAACCTAAAAAAAAATTAAACAATATATCAAATAATACTGGGCTTAAATAAATAAATTTATATATACAATTCTTCAAGCTCTTATAAAAGTCTCACAAGCTATACTCTAAAAATAGTCTTATTGATGGACTGAAAAAGAAGAGTTAGAAGTGAATAAGAAAACTAAGTTACAATCCAAAAATCAGCAGTTATTCTTATATTAATAATAATGACTGGACATTCTCATGTGCTCCATCTTTTAACAGCAAGTAACTAATAATAATTTTTATTTGATTTTTTATTACAATAAACAAATAATGAATTTAGACCCTTAAAAAATTTAATGGGCTTGAATACAAAAAAAAAGGAGAACTTTAATAAAATGTTTAATTTTACACAATCCTGTAGATTTATTTTATTACAAGTTACAGCTTTTGCAGTAAGGAAGAATATTTTTAAAATAGTTATGATGTTTTGATTATTGGTGTGATCATTTCCAAGTACACCTTACACCCAATTCTGTCTTCTTATAACTCTAAACTACAACCTTGGTTAATATTTCAGTTGGATTTCCAAAACAAGTACCACTTCACACCTCCTACAACACTTAAATAATTTAGACATTAACATAATTACATCTAGCTTAGAAAACCTATTCCTTCAAACCCCTTGAGATGAGGCAATACAAGACCCCAAAAAGAGAATCAGCATAAAATAGGAACACCTATTTGAGTTACAAATAGCTACATTTATTTGTTTTAAATACAGAAATTCAAACTTCCTTCAGTTACATGGACTAGCCATGGGAAATCCATTATCGGGTACTCTGACTACTCTTTACTTACATCACATTGAACATGCCATAGTCATTTCCTTATACAAGTCTGCATTTTTGTTAGATATTGAGGTAAGATTTTTTACAGCTGTATCTGTCAAGATGAAGAAATGTACTTCCTTCAACACATAAACAACCTACACAAAGGCATACAATTCACAGTTGAAAATGAAAATTACTACCAAATAAATTTTGTTAATATTAACATCACACAAACCCCTCAAGGCTTTATCACAAGAATTCAAAGAAAAAACACACAGTTACAAGAACACCAAAAATCCCCTTCCCAAGCCCACAAACATATGAACAAAAACAACAATAGTTTTTCTGGACAGGATGTCACTATACTAAAACATAAACCTGACATTAACAGAAGAAAAATAAGAGAAGCCTTATTAATGATATCAAACAATCGCACATTAACAAATACCCAGGCACATCTCTATATGTCTTTGACTGTTATTTCCCCAGATATTCCTAATCGTATGCAAATATTTTGCACAGCATTTCTACTTAACCATAAATAAATAATCTGTCAATTCACGTGGATTGATATGCACATGCAGAAGTAACCACTATCAATTCTAAAATGTAAATACATTTTTAGATTGTTGAATGTTGATTTAAATAATAAAACCTTCTTTCCCATTAAAACTTTTATACTTGAGAATTATCACACCAGTGGTCAAAACGTTGTATCCATTTTAAGAATATTCTTCCTTATTGTAAAAGCTGTTAACTTGTAATAAAATAATACTTATAATCAGTATTTAAACTCAAAATAAAACTACTAATTCTGTAGTTTAATTACATGAAGCAATAAAAGTGCATGTATGTATTTATAAATTCCCTTTATCACACAATTATTAAGCACACTCTGCACTTCTGTTGCTTTCAGTATGTAAATATAGAGGATTTAATTACTGAAGAAAGCAATATTATTTTGAATATGCAGGTATCATATGTCATACCATTTTAATTTGTATTTTATAATTTTAATATTGGTGTGTTTATATACAATACATTACATACAAGTGTAATGACATCTGGACCATGACCATCAGGTTAAAAGAGAGGAATTGAGATATGTAAATTCATACAAGCTTTACAAGGCTTTCCAGGACCCAAACTGAAATGTGAAGGACTCTTCCATGATTTTCCAAGATTTCAAGACCTTTGTGAACCACATAAACTAAACCATCTTATGATAGAGTATATGTACCTATCTTTATCCATACAATTTTTCCAAATATTAATATAGGTTTTTTGTATCTAACTACAAGTTTTGAAAGAATAGGATGTATCTAATCTGGACCTACACTAATATCGCCCTTAGGGATTACTGCACATAGTCAAAGACTTGGTTAGTCTTTGCTATTTTTAAAAATTGCCAATGTTGGAAAATAATTCATTAAACCGATCTTAGTGTACTTCTTGTAGGTTGGTTTTATGTAGAGATAAAGAATTCACAACTTTAGTTTCTCCTTTTTTGTTAATGGGGCTTTAATGATGATGTGGAACATGAAAGATATAATACAATTCTAAATAAAATTAGTTTTTGGTCAGATTTGTCTTGGAGATCATCCAGTGAAGAATCTTTTCCTTCCATCCTCTTATACATAGATAAATAGAGAGTGAATATTTTTATGTCATTCAAATATTTTGTTTGCCACCAACTTAGGATTCTGGTTAAAGTGTTAGTAGGGTCTTTCTTCATGTTTTTGTGTTTGGTCTTTTTCTCTTGCAGTCAAGATAAACTTGTCTTATACTTGTATAATGGAATGAAGCCGAAATCTCAAGGCTTGAAAACTGGAAAGAACCATGGAAGTGAGTCTCAACCTGGGCCTTTTTGTCGGTTGCACATACACACAGCCTTTACAATGTTTTTACTACTTTTAAAGAAGATGGTGAGTAGATGTCACCATGATGACTGGCAGTCCTGAAAATTAATACGACAATTTCTACAAAGACCCATGTCATTACCATCTAGTGCTGTTGAGCCCATGTCCAGATGAAATCACCAGTGGTTAGAAGACTGGAGATAACATTGGAGAATGAGGTTCACCAGCCAGAGCCACCACACTACTAAATGTCACACTGCCATATTGTTATCAGGAACAAGAACAACCTGCTTGTACATACTGCTTATGAGAGGAATGAGAGACTTTAATGACAACATCTCAGTCAGTGGCTGGCTAACAAACCAACTACCTATCCTTTTATTTAATGATGCAGTTTGTATCCAGAGATGTGGTAGCTACCTCAGTTTATGTAGAACTGGGTGTTACATAGTGTATGTCTATAAAAATAATTGAACATGAGGTTAGGTTTTTGATAAATACACGAGTTGTCAGGACTGATTGATCTCTTGGTATATTAAATATTCTGTGTATAGTACCACTTCTGCTAGTTATCTTACTTTGTTTTGAATAATTTAATGAAATTAGGCTTAGGGAAAGTGGAAAAGTCTGGGTTCATCTTTTTATCAATGCTGTCTCTCACAGAATAAAATTATTTTCATTCTGTTTCTGATATTGGCTGAGCACTAAAAGCTTTTGTATAAGTCTGCTGTAGAAAATATCAACTAATATGGCTTGTAATATTAGAGAGCAACAGCTCTGTGGAAAACTATCCATGTTGGTCATACAGTAGACTATTACTTTCAGGTGGTTGATGGAGCTCACATTATGTTGTTTATAACAGGAAGTGTCTAAGCTATAAAGATAATACACTAATTTTTGACCACAATATCTACTACTTGAAATTGGGAATAGTGTTTCAACAGATGAGAATGAAAAAGACATAACTTATATTTATTTCCTAATTTTTTAAGGTGGTTATGATATCGGTTAAATCAATCAAACCCATACAGAGATTTGTTTCTTATTTCTTAAGAAACATTTGATAACTATCTGGACATTATAAAGATTTTGTATGTGAAATTTGAAACTTTTCTGATTCATGAAAGTATTTTTAATCTTAAAATGAAAATTACTTTGTATTTTGGACAGGCAACATGTGAAAAGAAAAAAAAAGGCATGAGAAAAACATTGAGTTACAAACCTTAAGAATTAAAAAAATAGATATTTTGTATATGAAAGCATTGTTATGCTTACTGATAATCTGCCCAATTTCATTAACATATGCTTACTAATTTAAAGGTTATAGCATGAAAACTATAACAAGCACAAAATAGTTACGAGGTCGGACCCAGGGACTGAGCCAGTGCTGAAAAACTTAATAAAGGTATCTGTATCTTGTTGATATTTTGTTCTTTGTGTTTTTAGTTTTTAATAGATACACTAGTTTCACTGAGTTGTAATGTTTCTAAACATGTTTATTTGATATTAGAAATTCATCTTCAAAATGGGAAATGCCTATAAGACTTGTGGGAAAATATTTTTTTTTGGAAAAAATGTTTGTTTTGAAAACATGCAAACATCCACCTTCAGAAGAGGTCAATCATACAAAATCAAGGATAATTTAAAAATTACTTAAAAAACCAAAAGAATATCAAAGAAAATAAGAAAATTAATAATGCAGTGGTTAAAAAGGTTAAGTAAGAAAATACCCATTTTGTTTTTCTTATTTTTGCTTGTACAGATTGTAGGGGCATGGTGTACTAATTGATTAATGAGCCTGTCAATTAATCAATTATCAAATACCCTAATCACCCAGCTCTAACAACATGACAAAAGAAAATGATAAGAGCTCTAATAACATTAAACAAAACTTAAGATGAGGTTGTATCTTCCTGGACTTAGGGACACACTGCTTTAATGTCCAATTTTTTCAAAGAAACCCAGGCTACGGCAGTTAGTTGCCAAAACAACAAGAACTAGTAGAGGCATCAACCTCAGCCAAAATATTAGAGGCTAACCTAAGGGAATATTAAACATTAGTGTCATATTCAATTAAGGATGTTAATAGTAAATTTACAGACAATAATTTATATGCAGAATGAAGTGGTATTATTTTAGAGAACATACTACATGTTTCGATAGAGCATTGTTCTGTTTTCTTCAGGTAGTATGTTCCTCAAAATAAAAGCACTTCACTATGCTAATAAATTGTTGTTTGTCAATTTACTATTATATCAGCATAATGTGCTTCCATACACAAATAATTAAAGGTAACTGCAAGTTTCAATGTTATATTCAAACTACAAAATGAATAATTCATATAAGTAT